GCGCCCGAGGGAACCCCAAGGGAGTTTCAGCCCGTCGGCGTGGAATTCGGTCTCTGGCAAGAAGCACAGTGATAAGGCGTCTGCTCCAGTCTGCACCGTTTCTCCTAGTCGCGGTACAGCGTGACTGTGGGGTGCTACCCGGCGCTGACCTGATAAGATGAGCTCTCCAGGGCCGTTTCCCGTCCATGATGTTGTCCAGTTCGCAGGCTGAAATCTGAAACTCCTGGGGTGAAGATCCCTCTGCAGGCCTCACCAGATGTTGCCTGTGCCGCTCCCCAAGCCCAGAAAGATGAGTTAATCCTTGAAGAAAATCATTTTGAACTTGCATCAAACTCGAAGGCTTTGATCCAACAGGCCATGGCAGTTAAAAACAAGGCGATCAGCAGAGCCGTGGGTGGTAGTCCTGTCTTGAGAGAGGAGCAGGCCACTGGTGACGGCTGCGTTCCAGAATGTTCCGGATGCCGAGGCCTCTCTCGGTGTGATGTTGTGAAAACGCTGTCCTTTGAACACACGCGGTGGTAAACAAAGCTTCCTCGCCCTCCCAGAGACGCTTCCCCACGAGCTCCGGGCCCCTGACCTCACTTGCCTTGAACCTTCCACTCCGTCACCGAGGACACAGTTTTTGCCACCCCGGTGTCCTCCGAGGGCATCGTCTTCCTTCCCCAGGGACAAGCTGAGTCCTCGAAGGCCTCGAGGCAGCTGTGGTTTGTATTTTGTGTGCCTCCTGGTCTAGCACACTAAGAGGCTCACAGTTTTCAAAAAGCACGATGTTCATCTTTGCATCCCTGCAATCTGGCTCAGGTTTCCTGGCACGTGGCAGACACCCGGTAAGCGCATAGGTGCTCGCTAAGTGAATGGAAGTGTTGGTTGGTAGCTTGGTCGAGTTGGATTAAAACATAGGCCGGGCTCGGAGGCTCAGCCTGTAATCCCAGCACTTTGGGAGGCTGAGGTGAGTAGATTGCCTGAGCCCACGGGTTCGAGACCCACCTGGGCCACTTGGCGAGACCTCACTTCTACAATAAATCAAAAGATCAGCCGGGCATGGTAGCACGCATCTGTAACTCCGGGTACTCGGAAGGCTGAGGCGGAAGGATCGCCGGAGCCCAGCAGATCGAGGCTGCGGTGGTCGGGAGCGACCACTGCACCCCAGTCTGGGCGACGGAATGAGACTCCAACTCAAAGAAAAAATAAAAATAAGATAATAAAAATAAACAGGGCAAGTGTGAACAGGTGCCCCCGGCACTGTTTACCCAGCACCTTGCAGAAGCTTCCCCTCCCCGGCCTCATCTCTGTGGCTCTCGCAGGAGCTGACACAAACTGCTGCAAGTTCTTTCCTGGGACTTTTGACTTGGAACCCCAAAGAATATGAAGAAAGGATCTTTCTGGTGACCAAACCCATTCAGACACACTGGCAGCTACAGGACCTCTTGGCCTCTGTGTTTCCCTGCCCAGAGAAAGCTGGTCTCCAGCCAGAGGGAAGACAGGGAGGGAGCCACGGAGGCAAGGGGCGTGAAGGACAGCTTCCGTGGCACCCGTGGCCATCGCACGACCCTTGCAATACCCACCCCTTCTTCTGCTGGATGACTGAGTTAGGTCTCTGCCACTTACACCCACGTGAGTCCTAACTAAGAGCCAGCTTGTATGGTGGACACTTGGTTAAAAAGAGTGGGTGGGTAAAATCCCATGATGCCAAGTTCTAAGGTTTTGCAAAGAGGAATTTTCTAAAACTTCTCATCTGTATCTGTGGTTTTAACACGTACCTCTTTGCCATCCCTTCTGGAGCTGGGGCAGTACTAGGTGGAGGGGAGGCATGTACCCATTTCTGGTACGGCGAGTCTTGCTTTTTCAGTTTCTCTCTTTTTTTTGAGTTGGAGTTTTACTCTGTCACCAAGGGCTGGAGGGCAGTGGCACATTCATGGCCACTGCAGCCTCAGCTTGCTGGGCTCAGGTGATCCTTCCACCTCAGCCTTCCAAGTAGCTGGAACTACAGGCGCACCCTACCACACCTGGCTAATTTTTGATTTATTGTAGAGATGAGGTCTCACCAAATTGCCCAGGCGGGTCTCAAACCCATGGGCTCAGGCACTCCTCTCACCTCCCAAAGTGCTGGGATTATAGGCATGAGCCTCTGCGCCCGATCTGCTTTTTCATTTTCGATGGCTTTTCCCCCAGGTTTGGCCTGTGGAGAAGTCCAGACGCCAGGGGCCACAGTGCCATCTGTGCACGACGACAGAGACCCAAGAGGACTCTCTCAAGGGCACAGAGAGGGCGGGGCTCCGCACAGCAGCCACGGACTTAGCACCCCCAGTGGTGATCGTGAGCGAGCGCTTGGAAGAGGCCTGGGCGCAGTTCAGGGTGGAGATGGTGACATCAGAGCCTGAGTGCTGTTCACACCTCACGGCCCAGCGCATGGGAGGACATCTGTGGAAGCAATGGGGCCACGTGTTGATGTTGGGTGACCAGCTTGGCACGTCTGGGGACTGCGTTTATACCGCCCCTCGTTAGCATCAGGTCCTTAGGCTGGTCCCTCGCTGCCTCGCAACTGCTCGTGTTGGCTTTGTCCTTGGCACATGGACTCACAGAGTCCGAGAGCCAGAGGCCTCTTCCTCCCTCCCCGTACCTTTCTTTACTCCGTCCTCTCCTCGTCCTGGTCCAGCCAGCCTGTGTCTCCAGAAACGACTGACTTTCTAATCTGCCACACCTGGAGTTTCATTCTGAGCTTGTCAAGCGCATGCCCTGTGGAGCCTCGTGTCCACACTCCCGTGACAGACACCGCCAGTCGACACCAGTGCTCTGTCCAGCAGTCGCCGACAACCCCCACGGATGCTTCTCCATATAGCAGTTGAGGCAGCCGCTGAAGGCTGGCTGGAGCTCCATGAAGCCTGGCTGTCATCTCTGATCCATGCCCTTATGTGTGTTAAACGTTTCTTAGTAGGCTGGTTTTCTTTCTCCAGCTGGGACGCTGAGTCCTGGAGGGCAGGGACCATGCATCAATAATAAGATCAAGCCGGGCTTGGTAGCTCAGCCTGTAATCCCGCGCCTTGGGAGGCTGAGGTGAGTGAATTGCCTGAGCCCACGAGTTCGAGACCCGCCTGGACAACTTGGCGAGACCTCCTCTCCAAAATAAATAAAAAAATCAGCCGGGCGTGGTAGCGCATGCCTGTAATTCCAGCTACTCAGAAGGCTGAGGCGGAAGGATCGCCGGAGCCCAGCAGGTCGA